TTGCACAATAAACATGATAGTGTAAACTCTTTTTGTTTTACTGATCTAGGCGTTTATGGGTAATCGCCTTGGCACTTCTATCAGCAAACATCCCTAAGTGGAACATAGGGTGTCTTGTTAATCAAAGATCTATTGCTTCAGTGTTGATGATGTAGTAAGAGACATTGAAAACTATTCCAAAGAACCTGCAAAGACCATTAGCATATAACTTTGTTCTCTTCATGTCTTTCATGATTCAAAGTTGGAAACTTGTTGTCAATCTTGTGTTCCTACTACAAACATCAAACATGACTGGAACTAGGTTCCATTGTTAGATCCATAACTTCATAAATAATGAACATTTAGCAACAAACCCCGTGATAGAAAAGACTTTCAACAAACAGTTCATCATCTCTTCTATTAAGAAAAGTAACCAAGTGTCCATTTGCGTTCATTACTTATAAACAAGACATATCTTTCAATTAGTCGTTAAATATCACATGATAAACAAATCCATATCACTGAGATCCAATGGATTAGTGTTGCTTACCATCTACCCGATGTTGAAAGAGAATATAACATGTTTTAATCCTCATGCTTCTCAGTTTTTACCTGTTTGGAACTTACGTATACATATACCTATTATCAAGTTCCTACTAGGTTTATCAAGCATAAAAAGATTAACATGTTTACAGTTTGAAGCATAGAATTATTTCGTAAAACATCTAGAGTTCCAAGCATTTAAAACACCAAAATGTGCATCAAAAACTCGACAAGAAAAATGTTCACAATGGTATAGGAACTTGACTTACTAACCACCTGTTATGCAACAATTTTACCTTATGTGTTAGTCTTATAAGTCAAAGCTCTTCCATTGTAGGTTTATAGCAGGAAATATCTTGATTTGACAATCATCATCCCTTTGGAACCTCGCTGTCGAGATACTACGAGTTCCTTCCTACTATGCACCTTCAACTGTTCATGTTCCTATTGATATTAGGTTGGAACATGCCCTTCTGGTCCTATTGACCATTGTATCTTGGGTAGAGGAACGTGTTGGTTTAATCTCAAGTTCTTCAACACCTTGTCAAATTTCCTCAAATATTCATTCTGAAGATATAACCTGAAAAATCACAACCCAAGAGATTCCTTTGTGCCTTTAAAATGTCAGTAGGTTAGTCAAAAGAGGTAGATAAAACCTAAAGCATAAAAGTGTTAAAACATAAAGTTCCTGTAAGAATACTCCCTTTTAGATGTCGTTCCATCAACGAAATGATGAATCCCCAACACGAAGTCAAAGATAATCATCTTAACTCATCATCCTTCATAATAGTCTGCTACAGGAATTAATGCTTTGTTCCAAGGAACTTTGAATAATAAGAACTTAACTGGAACTTGAACAAGAATCTTTACATGAACGTATACGCTAACTCCTATAGCACCTTGATATAGAAGCTTTGTTATTCCTGTATCCCTAATTCGTTTTATCATTCCAAGTTCCAACCAATTTAAGCACTGAGCTCCTAATGGAACAAACTTTTACGCACCAATTTGTCTCAATGGACAAACCTATAAAACAATCATTAATAACTTGCACAAAGCTAGAAGAGAAGTTAGTTTGTCATGATATACATTATAAACATCCAAACAACTTCTCTTTTCATCCATTCACAAATAACCTTCATAAGATTAGGGAATTGAATTTCAATTGGAATTTGTGAAGGATTAATACATACCAAAAGAACATGACCAATATTTACAGAGAGATGTATAGGCAACTTACACACTTATTCATGTTGTCGATTCACCTACTACAAACCTCTTATAAAGGCTTTCTAGTGAGAGGAATTTGCACATAATTGCTTATATACAAACAACCAAAGATCATCATTATTAATAAGTTGTCTCCACTCACTTAGCCTGCAAAATCAGTCATCTTTTGGCTTTGGTTACCCAATTTATATTGGGTACCTTCATGTTAGTAATAGACATTAATAATCCATAATTAAAACAACTACGGTTAAACCAACTATCTTTACTAACAATAAACATCATGTGTCTACATAATAAATATTCAGAAAAACACATACACATGATAAGGTCATTCTTTGGAAAATATTCAAAATATACGTTCATTACCTTGCCCAAAGAATTAAGTTTCCATACAGGGATAATCCAGGTTCCAAGAGACCAAATATGCATAATTCTACATAATACGTTCCTTGAACTATTTCCAGTAAACCGATTCTTTAAAATAAATCAATTTGTAAATCTGACAAATACTTTTCACTCTATAAATCAAATTTGAGGTTACACAAAATTGATTTGCAAACTTTCAAAACAAAATCCAAAATTTAACTAGAAATACTACAAGGAACTTGTACACTTAATGTCATGCATATAATCAAGACTTCAAAGACGAGACACTTACCTCAAAGATGTTCATCTTTGAATCACATCTGCTTCACAAGCAGACTTTGGTCTTCACGTGGTATTCGGAACGTTCTAGGGTTGAGTTCCATTCACTGCATTCCTTGTAGATATCCATCCTAGCCTGGAACTTGCTCCTCGGGGTTGCCCGGTTTATCAAGAGCACCTGCTCTGATACCAATTGTTATTTTAGATGAACTACTACAAGAGGGGGGGTGAATGGTAGTAGGTTCCAATCGCGAAACTTATGCGGAAATTAAAAACAAAACGTAAAGGAACTTAAAGCACAAAGCAAGTTTTACGAGGAAACCATCCAGTGCCTAACTGGAAGTAAAACCTCGGCCCTATTGGGACTTATAAACAAATTCCACTATAATAGGCAACTCTCCTAGTACAACCTATTACACAGACCTTTGCTTTGCAAGTTCCGCCACGGACACTTGACTCTATGATAGGACACTTCCTACCAGACCTAAGACACTTCTCAGGACCCTTTTTCTCCCTTTACCCAGGAAACTTCCTAGGTGACCCAAGACACTTCTCAGGTTCCTTTCACTCACTGTGCACTCACAGCTACCACTCGAATTTTACCAGATTTCAAACTCATACACAAGCGTGAATTTAAGAGAATTCACAATCTCACCCCAAAATACAAAACACTCAAAACCCTTTTTCCCATTACAAGATCTCATCGAATATCCCTAAATACATATCTATGAATAAAGAGATAAAACTAATATGTTGAACACTCAAGATCTGTCTGGAACTCACTAGACGTACTGTAACCAAAAACCTGATAGGAACTTTGACCAGGAGGACTGACTTAGCTTCGTGGTGAAGGATAAAACCATTAAGCACGACCACTACACTTCGTCAGCCTCAACTTTGAATGAATACATATGAGCATATTTATAGTACACTCGAAATATTCATTTCATCTTGAAAAAGATAGATTTTCTGAAAAGATAAGTTTAAAAGATATATTCTAAAAATCAGTTTTCCGAAAATATATCTTTTTGTTAAGAATAAAAACTGTCAATAATAATAAGATAAACTTAGCATAAAATCAGACTTTATTCAAAACTTATCTTTTTGTTTAAATACTTTTTAAACAATCTTATCTTTTTCCAAAAGGGATTAATTAGAAGATAAATATCTTTATTCAGTAAAACCAAATCCCTAAAAGATATGCACGTATAAGGTAAATATATATATCATTAAAACCGACCTTTAACGACGTGCATACTTAAGTTCCTATTAGGTTCCTAAACTCTGACAGTCTTCGAGTTCCTGACAAGTCAGTTACTCTAATTTCATTGACTGTTTGGAGTCCACCTTGGTTCTATATAGACTTGTTCCAGACCGAATTTTATGTCCAACATACTTACATGAATCCTAGAGCAATATACTTCTATTTCTCTGTCTTCATGTTGCTTCTCTGAAACTCTTGTTCTGGAATCCTGTAGTCTTGATATATTCTGGATCTTAGGGTTTTCCCCAACATTACACCGGAACCAGGTCGTTACAACCCGTTTCGAAGTTCCTGTTAAGAAACTTCTGGAAGTTCCATTTCTGGAACTCTTCTTCTAACTTTACTTGTATCCTCATGGATCCTCTAAAGTTCCTCTATTTCAGTTCCTACTTCAGCCCTCAACGCTTACTGAACCTGCAAACATCACAACACTAGAAAATCCTTATTAAATGGAAGTTTGCTCAATTCTTAACATCATCATCAAAACCTCATAAGGGTTAATAAGTTGCCCCTTTTTAATGATGACAAACTGAGCAAACTTCTGAGGATAACAAAGTAACTCAGAAGGTTAGTTTTTTCATTTATAAAAACAGTAAAGAAAACCAAACTAAATTAAAAGACTCCTACACATACATGACCTATATATGTACAGGATACTTACCTTATGAAGCTAACATATGCAAACACATGTTTACATAGTTACCTTCATGGTTCCTTAGCCATCATCATGCTTATCAACCATAACATTTATCGTTGTTCTTGTTCCTCTATTGCTTATCCTATATTGCTCAAGTTCCTTACATATATACCTATCATTACTTAGGTTCCTTGTATCCTGTTCCAAGCATAACTTGCTCTTTCTATGCACAACTTAACATACACGTTAGATAGATAATCATCATTAGTTTATAATCATCAAAACCTAATTTCTCAACAGTACTTCGCATAAGCCTTGACTGGCCACCATAATGGAATTAAGTGTGCTTTTGATGAGCTATTCCAATAATCTTATGCTAACCTTATAGACTCAATTTTAGGTAGGAGCATACTTTGTTAAATAATTAGCCAATAGATCCGATTTGGTTTCTAGCAATATACTATGACCATCTAAAATAGCTAAAATATCTCTCACCCTACTAATTAATCCTATTTATTTGGCATCTTGATCAGCAGATAATTCCTTCACGTATTGCCTCAAGATTAATAGTAAGTAGCTTAGAACAGGGGAGCCAAGTTCTCCTTCTGCGTCTTGACAACCTTAATTATAATCTCTTGATTTAGTTCAATATTAACAATACTGAAAAAACACAGACCAAAACACACGATAACCATGGTGCTTACACCTCTAACCTATCACGAGGTTCTGGTCAAAAACCTTCGAGAACTTAAGCCAACCAAACTAGCTAGAATAGCCAACATGATAGTTTTATTGTTAAACATAATGATAAAATGCATAATGCATGATGCTCCAAATACAGCAGAATTTAACGCTTCATTATTCCAAGCCTAGCTTCGCCTCCTTCCTCTGTAACCGCCTTCTCTTTGACAAGTGAAGTATGTTGCAGCCACAGGCGAGCCAAGATTGTAAACTTCGGCAAATTCCCTAGTGAAGAAATTCGGACGCCACCCTGGTGCACCGATTATTTGCCTCCCTGAGTGACAAAATACAGCAAATACAAGTCGATGTATGCCCAATGACGGCCTTGGATTTTCGTATGCCACGATTTCTTGCCCTGTTTTAAAACAACATATATATATACATCAAAGTTGATACCTTAATAACTATATTATGTTATGATAGAGTATATAAAACATATTCCTAGGCCTCAAAACAATATTCAAAGTCAGCGTGATACAAAGGTTACGGTTTCGAATCTCATCCACCTCTCCTTTCAAGTGGAATATTAAGTAAAGGGTATGACAAGAGCCCATGCTGCATACACACTTCAAGCTCAACGGACACTCATGTGAGGGAGCGTAATAGAAAATAAAACATATTCCTAGACCTCAACCATGAGCTTAAGTTTTTGGTTAAATTGATTATTTAACATGTTACTCATCTACTCATAAGTTTAACCAAAAATTGGAAATTGAGACCTTTTTATTTGATGCAAAATACTTTTTTGGGTATAAAGAGAGCCACGTCAATAGGAAGAGATGTAAAATAGATTTACCTTTTGAGACATCATATTCCTATAATTTCCATAGACAAAATAAAGCTTTTTATTCACACTTTATATTTACTTATTTATAGTTTTAATTGTTCTTATTAATTCAAATAATATAAGATTACAACTAAATAGTTTAAATAATAATATTGGACTCTGACTATTAATCACTATACTTTCTCTTTTAGTTGACAGATTTCTTTTAACACCATTATCAATTCTTAAATTCGACAACTAATGTATGTAATTATTAATAAATAAAAATTATTTTAAAATGATATTTTGAAAATATACATTAAAATCGATCTATATATCAACTTCTCACATGCATGCTTATAATTTACTGCATACCAAAATAGTCAACAGTAATTAGACAAGATATTAGCAAATTAAAGTTTGTAAATATTGTTAAAATTCAAAACTAAAATTGAATAAATTAGTATAGACTTAGGTTATGTTCTATTTACCTATTTTTACTTATTTAAACTAATCTTATCATATATAAACTTATCTGAACTTATTATACCTTATTAAAACTTATTTTAGTACGTTATAATTTGTATTTGGGTAACCTTTATCAAAACTTATTTTTCCTGAATTGAAATTATCTAAACTTAAATGAAGTTATGTAAACTTAATTGAACTTATTACTTTTGAAATGAATAAAAATAAGGTGAATTGAATAAGCCCCTATTAAATTTAACTTGATCTTATTGGTCAATATTATTTTACCTTAGAACTCTAATCTTGAAATAAGGTGAACGTGGACATGACTAAATTTAAAGGTATTTCATGAAATTTCTTAAAGGAGCATCTCTTTCAAAAAAAGGACCGACACACTTTATTACCAAAAAAAAAAAAAAAACATATTAGTTGCATGCGTGCTTTTCAATATGTCCGATTTATTTGACACATTCAAAATCAGTATCAAATTGACTTACCTAAACTAATGCCTCCAGTAGCCGGTATGTTAGTTACTAACCTGAATATTAAAAAATTTAACTATATTAGTATATTGCAGTCTATAATATCAGTGATCCAAAAGAGCAATTTACAGTTACATGGTAGAGAAAAAATATTTTTAAAAAATAAAAACTAAAAAAAATGTGAAATAATAAAAGTTTATTACGTTTTCAAATTAAAAAAAAAAATAAATAAATATTTATTACAGTATGCCAACTCTATATTATTATCCTCAAAAATTTATTACTATACTACCTCCGATATTGCTATTTGCAATATATAAATTAATTTAAAAAAAAAAAAAAAAAAAAGGTTTCCTATTTATTAATTAGAAATAGTGATATTTCATAAACAAATTTTTTTAAAAAAGTTTCACTTTTTTTGAGATGAAACTTTTACACTAGTAATTTACTTCCTCTATTTTTTTTTTTTTTTTTTTTTTTTGGAGTAGAGAAGGTAGAGAGAAAAAAATGAATGGGGCCCGTGTGGTAGGAGAGATATAGATAGAATTTATTAGTTAAAAAGGAAAATGATGTTACTAATTCAAAATTTTCCCTTTTAGGAAAGTTATGTAACTAAAAAATCGAAGGAAGTTGAAAACATTTTTGTATTAAAAAAATAATTAATGAAAGCATGAGTATGAAATATCAATATTCGGGGTCATTGATCTAATTATTATGAGATTTTTCTTACATAATTTCATATTATTTTTTCATAATATTTTATTAATTTGGCTTAGTTTTAAATAATTATTATTTGTATTTTGCTCCAATTTTTATTTATGTAGAAAGAAGTATTTCGTATGGAGTATAAGGTAATTTACATATATAACCAGTCTACCTTTATTGCCTATTCAAAAAAAAAAAATTTAAAAATAATATTTTGAAATTTGTTAAATTAAAAATCTCAAGAAAATGGGGTACTACGTAACTTCACTTGATTGATGAGTGAGAGTGGGTGGATCGGATCGGATCGGAATTGCTTAAAACATGTTGGATTGCGAAGTTGATGGCATGAGATACAAGTTCTTCGTTTTTTTTTTTTTTTCTTTTTTTTCACTAACCTTTTTAGTTGCTTTTTCACTTTTAATTCTTCCTTTTTCAACTTTCATTTCAACTATTTGCATATCACTTTTTTCAAATCTATTACTCGTAGGATATGTTTTTATCATTTTATTTTGCCCAATTAATTTACAATTATTTATTTGAATTTAGCTAAAGAGGGTACGAATTAAAGGTGAATGAAATCAGTTTATGTAATAGCCACTCCAAGAATTTTTTTTGAGCAACATGCTCATATTTTAGAATATAAATTCAAATCCCCCTTTAATTTACGAGTATAATAAATTGTTTATAACAGGATTTAGAGTGACAATAATATCACGGCCTTCAAATTTTTTTTTTTTATCTTCTAGCTAGTTACATTAAACTTAAAAGAATATAAAAGAATCTTGTTACTATTATTATATTATTTGTTACAAAGGTAAATAGTGTTTTGGTTTTTAGAGCATTAAATTAAATTAAGATTTAGAATATATGTGATACTGTTTTGAACAACTTACTTCTTCTAGAACATGGACTACATACAAGAAAAAATAAGTTTAAACAATAGGATCAGTCGAACATTTGAAATTTTGTTGAAGAATTTTGTTAAATTATTTGTAAAAATAAAAAATTGTTGAATTTAAAGCATTTAAGCCTGAACCTTCAACGGGGTCTCTTTTAGTGGAGAGATTGACTTTAGTAGTGAAATCGGTCTCCTAGAAAAGATAGAAACGACATTGAACTTTGATCATGGAATTTAACTTGATCAAATAAGTGTAAACCGATTTTACATTGACTATCTTACATGCTTATTTAACACTACTTACATAAATATTTGTTATAAATAAGTGTAAGACTCGATCAACTAAGCATGTAAGACCACTCATGTAAGATTCGTTTTATAACACATGTTTATTGAATTAATTTGTTTTACATAAATATAATATGATTCCCTCACGAGACTCTTACAGGTATTGGTTTTAAAAATATATATCCCACTTGTACCGTAAGTATTTTATTTTTTAACTAACCACAACTTTGGCCTAATGACCGTATGTAATAGCCCCAACTACAAATTAAATAAATTAATTTAGTAAATTGGCTACACAATTAATTTAATATGATATCGTTTCACTCCACAACTTCTTATACATGAATTGTGACAACATGTAGGTAAAAATTTTCGTCTTTTAACGAATTATACTATGCATGTCCAAGTTTACATACATGGTGCAACCAAAATTAAGCATCTAGATCAGAATAGTAAGTACTTAGACACTAGACAAGCCACCATGACACATACCTCATGTTAGGGTTCATGAAGTGGGCACGTAGTATGCATTCACTAGTGGGATCACTGTTTTAGATAGTCTCAGGCAGCATGTAACATACTATCAAGGTTAACAAAATAATTGTTCTTACTTACCAATGCAAGTATTCTCTTTCGGTAGGATTGCCGGGGCTAGGAGTATCAGGATCCACCATAACCTTCATATATTTTGATAAAATGCAATGAGATATGGTAGTAGATGACACAAACCTAAGGTATGTGGCATGTTATACCAAGGTACAAAAAATAGCAATTGTTTATATATAACATATATGAATTGGGAGTTGAACTTACCAAAGTATAGAATGCCATAGGATCATTACCCTGAATTTCAATCATTGGTGGATTGACAACTTGAGAAGGTCTAAATTCACTGGCATTAATGACTTCTCTATTGTCATAGACAACTCTTAGAGCTACCGACCTTATAAAGGGATCCAAAACATCCCCAATCACTTGTCCTACAACAAGTGAATCTCTTCCACTAGGCATAGAGTTGTTTTATGTATGTACGTTTATAGGCAATTTAACAAAATTTGTACCTATCTAGACTTTTATTTTTTTTTTTATTTTTTATTTTTTATTTTTTTTGGTTTACTTATGTTCTACAGTAGGTATAGTAGTGAGTTCTATTTATAGGGTTCATAAAGATATCAAACTTATTCCCTCTATTTCCAAATAAATTATACTTCATTATATGAGGAAATAAACTAACGAGTGAATATATTGCATATATCACTATTATAAAAGCCAAGTGGAGGAGGGGCTGGTGGTCACATCAAACGTCCAATATGCTTTATAGGGGTGAAACTAATGCGGTTTAAAACCAAATCGAATCGCAAACCGAACCAAATTAGATATGCGGTGCAGTTTTTTTCTAATATGGTTCGATGCGGTTCGAGAAAAATAAAAATTGCGGTTTACGGTTTGGTTCGATTTTAGGATTTGAAAAAGTGAAAAAAACGAAATTCAAACCGAATTATGGCCTTGTAAGACTTAGTCACTATCATTTCTTCATTAAAATTTAGTTTTTGTTATATCATTATTTGCTATTTGACATTAGTTTGCTTTATTTTTGGATAATCAAGCCCAAAAAAACAGAATTTGAGTAATTAGGCCCACAAAAGCTGCAAATTAAGGCCTAAATAAGGCTCAAAAAATTGCAGTGTGATTCTGTTTTGTATTTTAAAAAAAAAAAACCGAATTTTATATGGTGTGGTTCGGTCGGTTTCAATAGGAACATGGTGCGGTGTGGTTTCAAAGATCCCAAAACCGAATTAATATGGTTTGGTTTCGGTTTAGACTATAAACCACACCAAAAACCGAAATTTCACCCCTAATGCTTCATATATAACATAAAAAGGCTATAAATAATTATGTAACAAATTAAAGTTTGGACATAAGTTACAAACTAATGAGTTTCACAAGTTTAGTGGAAAATATACTGCTGGTCTCCCGTACAATTTTACATATATATATATATATATATATATGAATTTCAATAACATAATAATATAGTTATTAACTAACATATTTATTATTGCTTCAAGGATGGGTGGAGCTTGTAATCAGATTATGTGTCTACAACATTTTCTATTTCTGCTTGAGTGCTTCTCTAATTAATTTGTATCATAAAAATGTTGTTTTGACAACTTTTAAGGACAGGCTTCCTAATAATTTTGAATTTCTTATTCGGTGCACTCCCCCTTTCTTACCCTAAAAAAAAATTAATAAATTAGTTTCACATAACTTCAAAAATTTTGCAACATCATTTTCTTATAGAGGTATGTGATACATCTTGTGCATTAGCACAGATGGATGCATCCTAGTATAGCCCCACCCAAAAAAAGGAAAGGTAAGTAGGAAACTCTTTTTTTTTTTTTTTTTATTGGACAAAGGGAACTCTTCATTGAGACAATAAAGAGAGTTTGTAACCTTTTTATTTCACACTTCATTTTATTCCATTTTTGGCATAATATATTTACCATTATACCCATATTACCCCCATAAAATTACAAAAATTGATTTTGACACACCCTTAATTAATTTTGGCACAACTTTATGTGAGAAAAGCATAGAAAACTATGCTCTCACATAGAGGTGTGCCAAAATCATTTCCCAAGTTACATACACCTTTCCACACTTTATCTTTCTTTAATTTTGTCTTGCACTCATTCAACTTTTTACACACTCAATTCTAATTTTAATTTACTAATTTACTTTCACTCACCTTCCGTATTACGGTGTCTATGTTATTTTTTAATTTCTTACAAATTTTTCTTTAACGGTATCTACGGTAAGTGAATCGAAAACCAAAAAAAAAAAGGGGAAGTACAATAAGGTTTTTATATATGAACGTATATTATGTTTACAATGTGCTATTTTTTGAGTAAAGTAAATACTATCTCTCTTCCCATCTGATCTCAACATCTACATACATTTAGAAAAAAATTTAAGAAAACAGTTGACAGTGTAGGTGGGAGTAAGAAAAAATGTTGTTAAAGTTAGAGAGGGAATGTAAACAATATATGAGCATAAAAATATGGATAAATTAAGAGACTGTGGGTGGAAATATGAAAGATTGTGGTGTAAGAGGATTAGATTAGTATTATAAAAAAGTCCAAAATTTGAATATTACAAAGTGTTAAAATACTTCAGAAACAAATCAAAATGAAAAGTGTTCCGAAAAATTAAAGCTAGTAGCAGGTGGATGATTCTATGGTTGTCGTTTGAAAAATAACAACCATGATTTTTACAAATGAACGATTAAGATTTAATAAATTTTGAATTATATTTTAATGTTAATATTAATTACAAATCAATTTAATTATTTTCTGATAAAATTTTTTTGCTTTTTTTGTTTTATTAATAATTAAAACTGAATTTCATAATTTAATTTGAAAAAAAAAATAGAATAAATAATTTTCAAAATTCATATTGAATTCCTAAGATAAGGAAAATGAATTTTAGTTAATTTTAGCATTTAAAAATAGTTCAAAAATCATTACATCACAACCATCCAATTATAATAATTGTGGTAGTCATTTTTCAAACGACTAAGGTAGAATTTTCAGTAAATCCGAATTAGAAGTGATCAAACCAAATTGAGATATATTTGTCCCAATCAAACCTTATTGGACTTTATTGGACATGATTAATTAAACAATTTAGAACATACTAAAAACCATTTAACAATTGGAATTTGTGTAATTATTTAATATTGCAACATTTTGACACTATTTAAATACTCCACTTTAACCACAATTGTAATTTACACATACAAAAAATCATAGTCATGTAAAATAGTTTTGTTAGATTCATCTCGATATACACTTTTACAACATGTTATTAGCTTGTTATGATTGCGACAATATTATATAGTTACATAAATTTAATGTTTAAATTATACTTTGGAAAAGAACGGATGAAGTATTAATGTCCGTCCATTTAAAAACATCTCAAAACTTTTAATTTTTCCTTATTTGGCAAACTCATTTGTATTACCTTATTTCTCTTGAGCTAGACCTACTATCTCAAAATGACATATTTGTAAATAAGAGGAATTATATGATTTTTTAAAAAAAAAAATTTGTACTATTTCTTTTATGTTCATCTTCTTCCTGCCCCATCTTTTCATCCTCATCTTCTTCATGCTCCTCCTCCTCCATAGAAGTGGATCGTGAATAACCACTTTAACCACCATATTATCGCTTCCTCCTCCGTAGAAGTGGGTCGTGAACAACCACTGTCATCACCATATTATCGGCGACTTCGCCGCCGATTAAACGGAAACTCTAACATAAAAGGGAGAAAAGAAGGGCAAGGTTAACCCTTACGGGAAAGGTTTAGGTCGTCCTCCATTAAAGCCCCTTGAAGCTCTTCCATTTCTCCATTGAAGTTTTTTCCATTTCGATTGATGTTCTTCAATGCTCCATTGAAACTTTATGTTATAGCTTGAAAATGCAGAGAGTTTTTTTACAAAATTATCCCAAATTTTGCACTGGAAATGACAAATTTGCCCCTTTGAGATACATATCATGTATCTCACGTTGAGGTACTTGTATTTTCTCATTTCTCTTACCTCACAATATTTATACATTTTCACTTACTTTTTCTTACTTTCTCTACCTTTTTTTCACCTACCCACCCTTTTACACACTCTCTTTTTCTTGAATGGAATAAGGGGGTGATTTTATTAAATAATAATAGTCATTCGACACTTACGATCATTGCTTAAGAGATCTAAATTGTCAGCACAAGTATTAAACACCTTTAAACTAATAGCATAACTGTTAAACAGCTCCTGAATAATTTTAGATCTATTTGCATTGTTCTTAACGGAGCTTTATTGATGTACAGTATAGTCGCGAAAGGGATAAAACTTGATTAGTCATGCAAACTTGCTAGACGGATCTTCTAAATCTGCACCCATATACCAACAAACACTACACAATTCCACAATTTTGCAGGACAAATCTTTCAAAATTTTATCCCTACACACATGAAAACAAACAAACAATACTAAAAATCCCACCACGAGGGAACCGACTAAACCCTACATGGAGGGATGAAATATAATCAACATATTATGTTGGTAATATTTACTGGCTAAAGACATTAAGTTAATTAAAGAAGAATTTAGGACATACCAGCGATGAAATCGATGGCAGCCCCTAAGTTTAAGTACAGTGGCTAGATTTGAAGAAAGAGAACAGAGAATGTTTTAGGGTTTAGGAAGGAAAAAATCATTTGAAATTACCTTTTTAAACACTCTCTTTTAATTTATCTATTATTTTCTTAAACTAATTAAAGCCCTATCTCTAATTGCATACAGCAAGTGAGCAAATAATAATTAAAACTATGAAATATAGGTAGTAGACATTTATATGTTCATAGTCAGTAGCGGACCAATCCTTGTTCACGGTGGGGCAGGTGACACTTCAAAAAACAATGAAGTTTTAAATCTAAAAAAAAAATAAAAAATTCTTACCTTTTGCTCGATTTTCACTGGATACAACAGACCAACAGTGCTTCTTCCTTCCTCCTTTCTTCCTCTCTCTTCGAAAAGTAAATTGTTGCCCTTCTTCCGTTTCGACCCACCAGCTGCCACAGACCAAACGTCTGCAGTTTCCAGCACTCTCCAGCCGCCGTTTATCAGTCTAAGTGTCCACCGTCCACCTTTCACTTTTCAAATTCAGCGAACTTAGTTTTCATATTTAAATATTGAATTTTAAAGTTTCAATTTCTTATTCTCCATGAGTTGTTGGGTTGATTTTGTGCTTACTTTTTTTTATATATATAATTTATCAAATTAGTGCAGGTTTTGCTGAAACTGATGATTTGCTATATATTCTACACAATTAGGGTTTGAAATTCATGGAAAGTTGTATAATTTGGCAAAAAAAATTTAGTTGAAAATTGATATTAAATTGGGCATTGTAATTGTTTGCTAAATTGAGAATTGTTGAGTTTTAACTACAAATGGTGAATGTTGAATTATTCGTCAAATTGAGAATATAAGTTCTTTATTGTTTCATTATCAAGTTTATGTTCGTATAATAAAAGTGAAATTTTTGGCAATAGTGGTTTGTTTAATCTGATTGAGATTGTGGATTAATTTTAGGAATGAAAAGGAAAAAACGTGTGTAGACACCTAAAAATGTCTCCCCAAAATCAAACTCGGTGATGAACAACGTTACACAGCCATTACTGGTCGTGTTGAGTATTTATGTCAGGAGTACTTAAAACCCATATTTAGTCAAACACATTTAACAAATCAGTCAACAAATCAGTACTAACATTTATTCAAACTAAGCCCAACTCACAGTTTAGCCCAAACCCTT